ATTTTAGGTAGATATTTCTGGTGGGGTATCTTGCAGGCAACCATTAGTAATATATAAAAACTCATTGATGAACGTTCATCCGACCGCTAACGGAACTCATATATCCCGCTCTGCCTGGGCTCCCGACAGAGGGTCGGACAGTCGTAACAGCTGGTGGTGTAGACAGATATAATTAACAGCAAAGACAAAGGAGATTGGAATGACCATTTCTGGCTTATTAGCCGTTGTCAGCCAGTCAGACCCAGACTGGGGTGGGACGCTACTTAAGTCTGGGTATGACTGGTTGACGACGGCTAATAAGCCAGAAATGGCCATTCCAGTCTCGCCTGTCTTGGCCGGTAATAATATCTGCATATAAAACTACTTTCATCTCCCCAGTTCCCCGATTTACACCCTACTTTCCAACTCGTTTGTCTCATCTGACACTTGCTGTGAGTAATTTCCTTTCTTGGGGGACCCCGCAGGTGATGCCTACGTAGTTTTATTTGTCTAGCGCTTCTGATCCACATCCTAACCAGCCCTTAGAGACAGCTTCAGCCGGTGGTACTAAAGGCGAAAAGGCTGCTTGATGACTTAGAGTGAGATTCCGAACAGTTTGGTCAATAATAGTGTGATCCCAGCAATCGTAAATTCTTTTTAACTGCTTCTCAAAACACGAATTTTCGCGAGTATTGGATGGATATGCTAAGAATTAATTTGCGCATAACGTACTCGACAGTGTTTTGCCTCAGTCGACAGAAGAGTGAAACATCACCCTCTGCATTCTTCGAAGCGAACTTTTAGGGTACTAATCGATGTTCGCTATGCACAACTTAACTTCTACGTTTCGGTCATGTTATATAGGGGTTGCCAACCGTTTTCGCTTAACTTTCTTTGTTGATAGTTCTATCGCCAAATAGGAAATAGTTAAAGTAAAAATTACATTCACTCTTTTAGTTGGCGGATTCTGCATCAGTCACCAGCCTCATGAAATTGTAACTGCAACGCTGAAGTTCATTTTCGATTATGAAGGATTACTTAAGTGAGTGTTGGTTATCGCGCAGTATAATCTCGATATATTCCACACACACAGCAGGATGCAAGCCTTACCGACCGCCAGTAAAATAACATTCAGTATAGAGGGACCCTTTATGTAAAATCAATTTTCAGCTCTTTTCGATGCGTTCATAGTGCAAATATATCTTATTAGGGAAAAGGCCAAAAAATACCTTTCCTTATACTCATTTTGTAGCAAATCAGATCGTCTTCACATTTTATACGTGAAGAAAGGGTCTCCTTCAGTTGTGAGTATAAGGCTTTTTATGCCCTAAAATGCTCATTCGAGGAGTGTCTTAACTGCCAGTTTAGTATTGCTGCTCATGGGGTATATAACAAAGTCCCCATTCCTTGCAAAGCTTTTATGAGCTCTATATGGCATCGTTTAAGGGTATAGAGGAATGTTTGCTTTTCCTTGTGTGGAAACTATACACTTAAGTTCGAGCATAGTTTTCAAATACGTCCACCGTTGAATATTTTGACACGTTTCTTTTTAAATATGTTTGTAGGTATAAGTGCATCTAAAATCAATGGAAAAAATCTATCTACTCAAGTTGTCGTTTTTACTGAGTTTCGAAAGAAGGGTTATTAAAAAACCGGCGTGTCCAGGCGTGACCAAAATACCTCAGAACTCTTCTGCGCGATAACCAATACTATAAATTTGACGTACTTCTGAGTAGAAGGTCTGACGGGAGTGTTTGACTTAGTATCTATTATAATAACACGTGTTCCAGGCAATACACCCGGACTTGCCTGCTAAACTTTAGACGCAATTAACTGCGATGTTTGGCAAAATGAGTAAAAAGGACCTGCCTGACTGATATCATTGAAGAAAAGATTGCAGAAAGTGTTTTTCGACAGAGTGGATGTCCAAAGCGATTTATTCCTAAGAACATAGCTTAAAGACTATCGGAGCATCCAATGCTAATAGTAGAGAAGAACCTACCTTGACCAGTGTCCCATTTCAAAGGAACGCAGCAAGCAAACTTCAAAAAAGGCGCCTTAGTCAAGCAAGCACCTTTCCAGCAGCCGACGCTTATGTACTGTTCCCGAGTGCTCCGATCCTATACTGAGAGAGCAAGGACAAACTACCGACCCAGAGCACTTCCATCTGCATCTATTCATTTACCTGTTCTTATCGGACAAAATATACTGGTCGCATGAGACAGTGTTTGTCCAAAGAATACGAGCAGACCTTCCAGTATGGTTAGAAAAGTGTCAAACAGACAGCATAAACAACTCAATTTTTGCGCATATGTTATCGTGTAGATGCCAGAGAGTCTTTCCGAGTGATTTACAGGGCCTCCTCGAACTATTAAAATTTCTTTACATAGCATCGGTTGGCTAAGGCAGACGCGGCTGCGATCAGGTTACGCAAACCGGCCCTATATGTCCCAAAGCACTTCGTAAAGGCGATGCAGTTATTATGGCCGGAAGCCACCAATTCAACCGCCCGCGGCTAATTACCCTTCTCGGCGGCCAGTACCCCTGACGCTGATTAGGTTACTGAGCTCCATTTTGCTATCTACTCGACCCTGACAACCGCTCGATTTTTCTATCAACCCGCATAGTTTACTTAATTGCATGATGATAAGAGAAGTTATTGGCGGCAAATGTATGCTCGCCACCTCATTTTTTGGATTTTTAATGGGAATTCCCGTAAATTTAAGATCCATTTAAGTAGTCATTCCTAATCCAAAATTTGGTTCATAATATAGGTTAACATTTCACTATACTGGTTATTACCTATATCTTAGTTCTAATAAAAAACCATGAGGTTTCTAAATCTCCGAGAAGAGAAATGCGTTTTTTCCGAGTTAACTGCCTTGTCTAACAAACGAGCGGTCAAAATATCCGTCCTCCATCTACTGTCTAATCATTTGCAATTCTCTAGTGCACATTTGTTTATATTTCTCTTTCCTTTTTTTTCATTTCCCCTCTTGATGACTCTTTATAGTAATACAGTGGTTTTTATGAAATTCTAAAAATAAAGCAAATGTTGACTCACTTGTCCAAAGGTTACGACAGCAAGCGGCAATGCTTTGTCTGTACACTTAGTTTGGTCCATCAACGGCACTTGTGAAATGTCAGCAGTAAAGGCGGACATCAAAGACAGCAAAGGATATAAATAGAATGGCACCCTCTCCTTAGCAATTTTTGCAGGCTTATCATCGAAAGAATTGTCTCCGGTGGGTCAAACTCCGATGAAAAAAATGTTATTTATTCGCCGTGTCTGCGAAAAAGCCTTTGTCTTATTTTTCAATCCTGTCCGCTCTCGATAAGGAGAAAAGAATAACTGGACGTGTGCTTTGAATCCTGCTAGTAATTGAGAATCAACTGCAATATCCTTTACCTTTAATCTACCTTGGTGGAAGACTCAGAACTGATTTCGGTATCAGTACTAGTATCCGTATCTTTGAGGGAGATCTAGATGGGTCACCTTTGAGTTCCATATTTGTACATGCGTGTTGTGGTATCAGAAAAATAGTATCTCAGTTTGTTGAGATATGTTGATATGAGCCATGGGGTGGACCATAGTTTTACAAAATGTTAAACGAGTAAAATTCGAGAGTCCACTACGCAGACTCATTCTATCTTCCTTGTGATTTGCTAAACTTGCCATGGAAGAATTCGGGGGACAAGTTACTGAGCAAACGTTTGCTTTCGATAAATTCTTGTTAGGCCAGTACAGTTATTTATGTTTTGTTATACAACCAGCAAGAAATATCGAAAAAGACTAATAGCTTGTTTTAAGAGCAAAGTAAAACAAAGTGCGACTGCACGGTTGACGCGCGTTTAATCAGCATTTCTCTCCGAATTGATTTCCGCCAAAACCGAAAACCAATGTTTTTAAAGCGACGAAAATTGGAATTCCTGCTAAATTAACTTTCCTCCCCTTTCTGCAAAGGCAGTCGCCTCAACTTGATATTTGAATTTTTGGTAAGCTGTACTTAGCAAATTGTCTTTATAATTTATGATTTTCTATTCTTCTTTCGTTGTCGGACGCGTGTTTTTGTGCTTCCCGAAGGAACTACGGATTGCCTCATAGTTTCTTCTTTCTAACAAATAATAATAAATAGAAAATGTTTAGGGGATGTTTGGTAGCTTCTTCCAAAGTCTCCACGTTACTGTGTTTTCTATGACCAAATATCGACGGCTAGCACGAATCAAAGTTGGAAGTTTTCAGTCGTCGACTTGTAAATTTTCATTGACCTCTTTGAACTGCCTGGAGTATTTATTGCTTGTCTATTTGGGAGACTGAACAATAAAATTGTTGGTTTTTTTCGCAAAATTATTGAAGAAAAGCAATTTCAAAAGGGCGCCTCAACGCGGAAGAAAGTTGAGACTAATCTTTCGGCCTAATCTTTACTTAATAATAACTTTTCGTTCACTTACAGCCATTATCAAGTTTGGAAGTCTTGTTGAACATAGCCTGTGACATGAAATCGAGGTCACTTTCCCTAGAGGACAAAAGAAATTATATTTAATCATTATAAAGATATTTGGGTGAACTTGATGATGAAGTAAAATTTAATTATTTCTCCCTTTTTCTTAGCTGTTATTATACTATTCATTTTTATTCAAATCATAGTAAAGTGTCCTTATGAGTTGGCAAACAATGGATTTTTGTGACCAAAGACAAGATATACTAGATTAATTAGCTTGCTCACTTATCTGGCACAGTAATTTCAAACGGTGTACCTAGCCTGTGAGTG